AAAACTTGCACAAACAAGCTAAGGAAGGCTTTCTCAAGAAAAGAGGGGAAAGTTGCTCTCACTCTTTAACCATACAAGGTGAGATTTGGGAAAGGAGTCAGGACAAAAGAGTTCAATGATAGCTTGGAGGACATGGTTTAAACAGATTCAGTGATGGCAAAGTAAAGCCAAGATGTGATAAGGGCTGCCTGAGTGCAGAAATGAAAAAAAAAAAGAAGTTCTTAAAATTTGGCTATATTGATCATTTTAACACTTTGTTCAAAGATCAACCAGCCCTGCATTTTGATATTTCCCAGGCACATCCTACTGATGGAGACATGGTGGTTCCATGTTAACAACACTTTCTGGGAAATAATGCAGTACAGATAAAACGAGTAGATGAAATTTTCAGCGGTTCCAAATGACAATCCCTCAAATGAAACCTTCAGGAGTTTCCACATCGTAGCTGTTAAATGTAAACTGACATTTTAACTGTGCTGTGTGCACTTTACACATATCAGAAAAAGTGACTTGACCAAATCTGCAGATTTTTAAATAATGATGTAATATTTGTCTTTAATCCCAGTGTTCAACACCACACCCCAAAAGAGTGTGTAGTGTCAAAGAAATGCATTTGTAAGCTAAACAGTGCTTATTAGAGATTAGTTTTTATGTTTTTAGGACATTATTCAGGATCTGGAAAAAAGGCATGATTATGGACGGATAAGCCCTCGAGAGACTCCAAGTCTGAACCGGAGACATTTGGAACGAGGCAAAGACAGTGTGTGCTGCAGGAGAGTGGGGGAGTAGTTTAAAAATACCACGTGGAGTTTTGGTGCCTGTCCCGGAGGGAAAACAAGACTTAAACTGGGCCAAAGATGGACCACACACACATGCACCCTTACCCCAATCAACCCCATGCACTGACAGACACTGGGCACAGGAAAACTGTAAAAGTCACAAATGCTGGATGCCGTGCATTCCAGGTAAGGCGATTGGGGAAAAGAACAAACAAAAAACAAAAAAGACTCGGACAACAAAGTTGCGCTGACAGTTTAACCAGAAACAAAGATGGAAGCAGCAACAGGAGCAAACTCATTAATTGGGGTTTGAAGGACGGCGACAAACAGCTAGGATTTCTGTTTTTCGACAGCTGCAGGTGTCTCGACTACTGTGGTTGACCTTAAAAGTCACCAGGCGGCGATGCAGAATCCCACAGATCTGCTCTGCACAGACACAACCTACCTACCTCTAACTTTCTACCTTTCGTGCAGCAAATCTGGTGATTACTTTTGCCGTCTGCTCACGCCGTTTAAAATTTTACCCAACGGTCAAGAATACAAAGGTCGTCCCGCAGCCCTCAATTATGCAGTCGTCCTCCACAATAAAGGAGGAGGAGATGGTAAAGATGTCATTCATGAGCAAATCGGCTTGTGTGAATGTCAGAACGAAGTGCCGCGCTGGAAACTGCATGATTTCGCTGAGGACCGATTTGAAATGTGGTGGGCCTTTTAAGCAAAAGAACAAGTTAAAATGCCACAAAGGCAAAGATCACATTTGCAAGGAATGCATGAGCCCATTTAAGTGATTGTGTTTTCTGGGTTTATAATAGCAGGTTGAAGCACAGGTGTGACTCAGAATATGTGAATTAACTCTGACACATAGGGAGGAGCTTTACTCAGAGGTTTATCTAATATCCTGTCATCGAAGTATGAATGTGTGGCATTTGGCTTTAAGTTCAACAGGTTTCTGTTGAGCTTAAAGCCAATTTATGAGCAGTGGCGGCTTTCATCAGTCCGTTTTAATGGTAAACTTAATGGTAATCAATGTTCTGGCATCTTCCAGGTTAGAATTGAGATTATGTTGTACCAGGTCATTCTTGAGCAATTTGATGTGGTCAGTCAAATCTTAGTGAGGACTGATCATGTAAACCTTATGAAGATTTAACAAAATTAACTATAAACGCTCGTCTTGCTCAAGCCCACTCCAGTTCTCCCTAAGTCGGAAAGTAAAGTTGCTTCAGTTCATTTTTAGAGCTACTGTAGAATAAAACGACCAAATTGTAAAAGAATTCAAGATTCGAAGGTTTTGTGACAGTTTGATGCCAGTTCGAAAAGCTTCTTCGCAGAATATTTCCTCCATAAAACCACTGGAAGCAGAGAACAAAACGTCACTTGCAATCACCATCAGCCAGTGAAACACACCAGCTAACACCGGTAGGCTTTCATGTTCGCCGCTTTCATGCACGCTTGTGGCTTAAAAACGTCTACAAGGAATCACTGACTTGGTGAAAAAGTCCAAAGAAGTCAAATCCCACTTCATCCAAAAGTGACCCCTTTGGAGTAGCCACACCAGAGCGACTTTTATTGGGCCACTATCCATTAAGCTGGATGAATCTAAATCAGGCGTTTGGCTGAAACAACTTCTGCTGCAGAGACGGAGAAAGAGGGTCAGAGAGATGAAAGGAATGAAGAATGATAAGCAGAGAAAATATGAGAGGACACACACACAGGCTAAACGGGTGAGAAAGAGGTGGGTGCATGAGGCATCGAAGCGCTCAGGATGAAAGAGAAGATTCAAATAAGATTGAGTGAAGAAGCAATAGAGAGATGCCGGGAAAGTCATAAAAATTGATGGAGATAGCACTGCAGGTCAGGGAGTAAGGTATGTTAAATATGTTAGTGACTCTACAGGAGGAGACAGAGGCTCAGTGTAAAATATTTTACAAAGTGACGAGCAGGGAAGATGCAACACAAACCGATGCCGGCACACAGAGCTGGAGGCGCAAAACTGATACGGCGTGGGCGAAAAGGGAACCGAAGGTGGGTGAAAAGAGAGCTGCCGTTTGGGAAGCAGCAAAGGTCAGAGGCTCAGGGTGGGCCTCTGAGTCCGCTGGACGCACCGAGACTTACCAGACAGACAGGAGAAAAAAGGACAACGGCACAGACACACTGGATGGGGGTGGGTGGGGTTACTGCTCTGTGTGAAACAGCTGATCTGGCCACACCTAAGAAAAACTACAAACGATATGAAAAATACTCTGATGTCTGATTACGCTTGACTTAGACTAATTTATCTTAGAGCTGGTTTGTATCTTTAGTCGTCATCGGCTGGCTGGAAGGTGACGTTTTGTTTGTAACCTCTAAAGATTTTCTCTAAGGATTGTGCTGCATTTTAGTTTTGGTTATCTTCCTTTTTCCTACTGAGGAAAAGAATCGATCAAGTTGTTCAACTTGATACAAGAAAGACATGTGAGGAGGAGCTTCCGCAGCATTTGGGTGTTCGACACCAAGTGTGTGACAGCAGCGCATTTTTTAAAATTATTATTATTATTATTTAATTTTCTGTATATTTATACAGGTTGTATCATTGAGATCCAAGATCTCACTTACAAGAGAGACGAGTTAGAGAAGACAGAGCGTTGCTGAAATTTATGATTACATGGCCGAGAGTACCAATCGTCAACATTCCTCTTGATGTAAGTTCTTGATTTAATTCAATTGAAGGCTGTAGCCTTAGAAAAATAAAATATAAGTAGGTTGTGCATTAGGTCATTAAACTAGACCAGGGCACCCACTGCACACCTGTCAGTGCGGCGCAGAAAGTTGCGGCGATTCCCGCAGTGTCATCAACTGCAATACTCTGTGGGAGTTTATACAGACTTACACACAGGCAGTGTGGGGAGTTATCAGAGTCACCATTGGTGTCACTAATAAACTTTCTAATCTTAGCTATGAGTGTGCGCATCATGTATGTATTCTTTGTGTTCTGCAGCAATAAATTTAAACATGTCAAATGACATCTGTTTTTTTTTATTGTGGTTTTTTGTTTTTCACTTTTATGTGGACAACCATCGTCCTCTTTTGCGCCGTTTAGTTTTGTGCCAAACATATTGCACACAAAATTAGCTCTACTTTTTTTCCATATTTTTTTATTTTTTTTATTTTTGACATTAACTGCATCCTTTAAGCTCAGAACATCAGCGTCATTTGCTTTGCAGACCTTGCATTCACTAACGATGCAAAGTCTGTACAAGAGGTTTTTGGGTGGTTGTTTGTCTCTCTGTGGTCGGAAGCGACCTAAATGTGAACCCCAACTGACCAGAGTTGAGTGTGAAGCTCAGAAAGAAGTGCATGTGAGATGAAACATGAGCTTAACCACTCTAACTGGCATCATTAGCTGCATACAAAAAATCTTGGAGTAAGATATGCAATATTGAGTCTTTGGAGAATTTTTTTTTCTCTGATTCTGCTCCTGCTAATGTAGTTGTTCTTCTAGTGCTTTGAGTGAGTTCTATATAATTTATGCTGTCTCTTGTGATTTTGACTTGACTCATAGATGCATATCCATTGCTGCACTTTTGGCCGGCACTGCGTCCTCAAGAGCAAGTTGGAACACAAGCGAATTAGAGCAAGTGACAATAATATATATATATATATATATATATTTTAAAAAGTGGCATTTTAAATATGGGTTGGCAAACAAATGAAAAAATAAATAAATTGTTGCGTGGTTTTAAAAGGAGGATTTGCACACCACTTGTACTGCGCAAAAATATTTATAAATTATTCAGAGCTGAACTTTCAGAGCCTAAAGAGCTGTGCTGCCCTCAAAACCCTCCTTAAAGATATAGGCTTCACACAAATGTAACCATTCTAATGAGCAGACGAAAATATTGGCAAGCTTTACAACAATCATGCTTTTATTGTAAAAAGAAGAAAAAGAAAAAGGAAAAATATATATCTATATATATATATATATATATATATATATATAGGTATATGACCTTTTCCTTTATAGTACTAATATTTTCACGTTTTAATTCCCGCTTTGCCTATATATATATATTTTTTTGTTACTGATTTATTTTAGACAGCTAAAACTGTCCCCGTGACGACTACTGTAGTTCTGTTGGATTTATTTTTGGGACAACAGCGCTCTCTTGTGGATAGTTTTATCATTTTACATTTTAATCGTTGTGCGCTCGTTCAGTTTGGTCCGACCGAGTCGCCGTAGGAAAACACAAACGTTGCCTTAGCAACGAGCTAGGGCACGTCCGGCGTTATGGTTATGGACCAGTTTAATTAATTAAAGAAGACGCAACTAAACATACACAATGGAAACAACAAGCAATTCTTCCGTGTTTCTTCTTACGGTGAACGGACAAATTGAGGGAGCGAACGTGAGTGGTTGTTTTATTGCTTTAGCTTAGCAGCTAAAATTAGCATTAGCAGCAGCAATGTATTGATATTTTATTTTAATTATTTGCTTTGTTTCTCTTTTCGTCGTTCTCCTGAGCGTTTTTCCTGTTCTTAAAATGAAGTTGCTTTCCCTCCCTTTTATTCCAGTTTCCAGATTATGACAATTTATACTGTAAATATTGTTACGTCTACGGCCATGACTGGGCTCCCACCACAGTAAGTAGTCATTTGTAACATTTTAAGCATTTTCTAGTCCCAATATCTTCATTGTTGCTCATGAGATAAAAGCAGTAGTGAAACATTGCACATCAAATAGGACCGAGTAGTTCGTAAAAGTCTCGTGTTAACAAACAGGTTGTGTGTGCATGTGTGTTTGTGTGTGTGCTTTCTCTTAAGGGTTTGGAGGAAGGCATCACTCAGATCACCTGTAAAAGCTCTCTGTCTCAAAAGTTGATATGGAACTTCCCTTTGGAGACAACATTCAAGAGTACAAATCCTTCCGGATGTAAGTCTTTCACACTGACACTTTCTGATTTCTAGAAGTCATCCTCAACATCTCTGCACTACAGATACAATTACTAGGCCAGTTGAATTCCAGGTTATACTTTTTTTTTTTTGACTGAGAATATACAGTTATCTAATTGAATCAAAAACCTAAATAAACTATAAAGGTGTAGTTAAGACCACATCATTACATACACAGAGTAAAAATTCATTTTAAGCCACTTTGTAACTAATTTGCCGGCATGCTTAGGGGGTGAATGAGGGAAGTGGGTAGCCAATGGCGCATTGACTGAAAAGGTCGCTGACAGGAACATACCTGCCACTACAAATGTGTAACTTCCTGTAAATGTTCCAGGGCCTCAGCTTGTGGTGAGCGTGTACGGACCGGACGTTTTCGGCAACGATGTGGTCAGGGGTTATGGAGCAACGCACATTCCATTCACACCTGGACAGTGAGTGTGACTGTCATCTACCCTACTGCTGCTTAAAGCATGGTGAACATTGTCCATGTTAGTTAAGGAATCTGAGGTATAGACTTTGTAGTTGCTTCTTTGAAATAAAAGATAATTATCAGTTCTGTTTCTTCAGACACATAAGAACCATCCCGATGTTTGTTCCCGAGCCCACATGGAGACTTCAGAAGTTCACAGGGTGAGTTGCTGTGAGTTACGTGGGGCGTGTTATTGCCCTCGCAATGACAAAATGTGAAAAAAAATTAGAAGTATAATACTTTTGGAGAATACTTTGATAAACTGTTTTTTTTTTGGTACTACAACTCAAGTACTTTTTTCCCCCCCTTGCTCAGCTGGTTGCTTGGACGACGACCCGAGTACACCGACCCCAAAGTGGTGGCACATGGGGAAGGCCGAGAAGGTTCCGTCACGCTTTCCGATCTTTAATGAGCCGAACAGCTGTAGTTTCCACAGCTCCAGCTGAGTAGTAAAAAAGAGAGGAAGCATTCGTATCCATCCAACGTTTGAATCTTCTTTTCTGTTTTAGTGACGAGGGTTCGGTCTCAGGGCTTCGTCACCGTCTCCTTCCACATAATGACCAAAGACATGAAGAGGATGGGCTACGACACGGGACCGACGAACTCGTCAACCGTCCAGTCCGCCACTTCTAGTCTGTCAAGAGATGCACAATAATACGTAAAGCAACATGAAAGCTAACTTGGAGTCCCTACATATCAGTTGTCATTGTGACTGAACTCCAGCCCAGATTGGACTCCAAACACCGGAAACTCAGTTAGTCTGGTTTTGAGACTCCAGCTCTGATTGCTTCTTAAAGTTGCTTACAGAGTGATGTCTGTGGAGTGGAGGGGCTTGGTAAAAGCCTCAGACTCCGCTGGTGTTACATTCCACGCCGCAGGAGACTGTGATGTTAAGGGAGAGGTCCGTTGCCATGTTGGGTCTACACAAAATGTTAATGTTGGTTATAAAATGTCAAAGCCCCATGCTGAACGTTTGTGTGGAAAGGCCTGAGATAAATTTGAAAACTGAAAATGTCATGTCCAGTTACATTTACACAATTTTCAAATTTTAAAAAAAGTGTTTAATACTTCCAGATTTTTTATACTGGCTCCTTAATTTAAAGCTGTAAATTTGTTCATTGAATCCATCTTTTAGTGAGCATTCTCTGCCTACTTTCAGTTGTCAGATTTAAAACGCTGGCTGATGAATTTGAGTAATGAGGTCTGTTATTTACCAATAGCTCCTTTGTCATAGAGCAGCGTGTGTTTAATTAGATTTGGCTTAACATTGGACACATTTCCTAGAATGTGCAACTACGCAATGGTTTGAAATAGCCATGGCGTAAAAGCATCTTCTGGTATCATGCAAGTTAAATAAATGTCTAACTTCCCTTAGGTCTGACTTAGGTCTTGCATTTAACATCTAAAATGTCCTAAACTGATGTTAAAACATTTTACATTTAACAAAAACATTTTATTAAAAGGATTGGGAGCATTTTTTGCACCTTTCTTTGTCAATAGGACAATACTTTATCTTTTGCTAGAACTTTATCATCTTGCCGGAGAGCCCGGCAGCAACCCCACACCAAGGTTTCTGGCAGTGGCCGCCAGATTTTTATGAAAAATATCCAGTGGTTTCAGACAGTTCACGATGCAGCGAACCAGCCCACAGTGTCACAAATCAGCACGCTCGATCAATGGGCTTTTCTACAAAGCCATTCTTTGTTTCTTTTATTTCTCAAGGTTATCCTTTTGTGAATTTATTGTCAAGCTTTGCATCAGAGGTGCCAACAGTTATTGCATTCACACTCACTTTACACTCTTACAGCTGACTGGTGTAAAACCAAGCAACACAGTCCATAAACATAATCAACTTGATGTTGGGTCGTTCTAGATATCTTCTGTATTGTATAGTTGCCTCCTTTTTTAAGCATTTTCAAAATAAATTTGAATCCAACCATTGTTGTTGTTTAGTCCAAGCCAAGACCCGACTCATTTTAATTTACTTTTCCATCATCAAAATCAAGAAAAAACATCGAAGGCTACGGAGCTGAAGTGAAATACATTTTATTTTTGAACCAGTGCAGCTACAGTTGTCCTTGTCCAAACAGGGTCCGGTCAGCTGTGCTTGCTCGTTTAGAGGCCGTTAAAATACCACAACTTTTTTTTTTTTTTTTCCTACAAAAACCCATTACACAGAATAATAAGGTATACAGAAGAACAGTATGTTACAATAGTACAAATGATAAATTATATTATACAGTTATAATGCCAAAAGGTAGAGCACAAATCCAAAACAATAAAATAAAAATAAAAAACCGCAGTCTGCTCCCAGTACTAAGTTAAGGGTAACTAGTCAAGACGGGAGAAGGGAATAAAAGGAGTCAGTTTATGCATATAAAGACAAGACAGCTCATGAAGTCAGTTAGTTATCTGGAGAGGAACAAAAAAAAGAAACATATTTAGTACATGACTCGGACGCGCTCGCTGCATGGGCCACGTTTTCACTGAACCGCAGTGATGAAATCTGGTTAGAAATAGTTCAGTACAGACTTTATTAGCAACCCCAGTCCCTCTTCTCTCTGTACCCTCACTAAGCTTGCATAACGTTTTCGAGAGATTAAAACATTTGCTGGTTTACAAGTATGTTTCACACCCGTTCGTTCAAGAGTCCGTCATAGCCATGTCAAGAACATATCAAACATTTGGAGCAGCTCCTCTTTTTTTTATTTTTCTTTTTTGTTTTGCCTGAGAGAAATGGGGAGATCTGCATTCAGTGGATGCATCCAAGAATCTGCAGTGAAGCCACGTTATACCACAAGGAGGCGACCACCCAAACTGAATAAACGCAACACACACACAAAAAAATGTTTTAACACCCCACAGACTTAAAGGGAACATCTGAACATTCTGAAGTGAAGTACTGTGAAGTCGTCAGTAACAGATCCATAACCCGTAGCAGATTGATGGAAACGTCACAGTGGGTTTATAAAACAGAGGAGAAACCTTCAAACTGGAGACTGGACAGCAGGGAGAGACAAACCTGTTTCAACTCCTTTTAGTAACTTGAAATAAGTTAAATTCAAAGGGTTTAAGCTCATGAGGTCCTATTCATATTTTTTGCTCGAAAATTTCCAGGGTCACATTTTTGGACTTCCCTGGACAGCTGAATGCAAAACATTTACCACAAATTGTGCAAATGAAACAACACAATGGGGAATCTTTGTTATAAAGAACTATTTCATCTAATTAGAATAAGGAACCAATTTGGGGAACTCAAATATTTTTCCAAACTGATCTTCACTGTTATCAATACTTGCCAAATGCATAAAAATTAAATATGCTATCTCTCCAGGTAGTACACCCAGTCATACCATATTCAATGCAACATGTTTCTATGTTGAAGTTGAAATGGCTGCCGGCTGTATCGCTCCACTTGTACTCGTCAGGCAAGAACATTTTTGGATTTTGTTAAATTTTTCAGAGGTGCAGACCCGTGATCAGGTGGACTGATACAGCAGCTGCAAGCGCTAGCCTGGATACATGCTCAGTTAACATCTGGATATGAATATTTGCTTGAAATAACTAAAATCAGAGTAGGTTTCCTTTGACTAGCTGGCAGGCTTTCTTCCTTTTTGTGCAAGCTCACTGTGAAACAGCCTCTGTCTATTACAGGATAGGAGGCTATTGGTATAAATTACTACACAGAACTTTATAAAAAAAAAAAAGAACTGTCCCTTTAAAAAAAGGAATGGGGAAAGTCTACAAAACCTGTGCATTTTATTTTAAGCCACAATTCATCAACCCACTTTTCTTAACCAGCAGAAGATACAGGGAAGCTCAAACTTTGCTTTCTGCAAATCTATATATAATCAGCCAAAAGTAACACTATTTAATTACATAAACACTTGACAAAGGCGTAAATTAGCAGAGTTATGAACCTGTCTCATCAAAGAGCCTCTTAAATCATAACCTTTAATAAACAACAATAGCAAAAAAATAAAATAAATGTAATGCTAACTAAGTGTGACGTTACTGTTTCACTTACTGTCACAAAAATAATAATAATAATAATAAAAATATCAGTCGCTATGACTTCGGTAACAGTTGTGCTTCGAGGAATAACATGACCAACCCACAGGGCGGCACAAAAACAAAACCAGAATGAAAATTGAGAAACTATTAAAACACGGCTTGTTTAGTATCAAAAAAAGTAACAACCAACTGTTTACTTTGTTTGCTGTGGGATTCCCCTGTGCTATTAATAGTACTGTTGGTGTGCATGTGTGTGTCTGTGTGTGAGACAGGACTGAATGATGATCGAAGAGATTACCTCTAAAAACGAAAAGTCCTGTTGGATGTGAAGGTTCTTCTCAAGGCTGAGACCTCTTCACCCCAAATCCAGTTAGTTAGCTAATGAGTTAACTACACTGCCCTTTGTTTTAGGTTGCAAATTCTAACAGACGGTGAAAATGGAAAAAAAAAACTTGAGTAAAGTACACTTGGAAGCTAAATGTGTGCACACGCACTGTCCCTCATCCCTTTAACCCTAGAAATTTCAAAAGAATGAAAATAATGGAAAAAAAAAACAATTGTTCCACAATGCTCGCCTGCATCCGCTTGTTCGACTCGGAAAATACTGACACAGTTCGTCTTTCTCTTCTAAAAATTGCTGACCGGGCTGGAGACGCAGTAGAAAAAAAAAAAAAACGCTCCGATGTGTGGCTGTTAGTATCTGAGCGGTAACAGCGCGACTGCGTACGAGCACATACGCACATAGAAAACATCTTTCTCGGTCTCTCTTTTAGGACTGAAAAGAGCAGTTCCATTTCCTCCGAGGGAGTTTTTTTTTTTTTTTATTTTGTGACCTTCCCCCCCTCCTCAAGGTTTATGTCAGGGGGGAAAAAAAAAGAAGATCCAGAGTGAAGATGAAGGGTTCGGACTGAGTTGGTACCAAGAGCCGAGGCAGTGTACGGGCGTGCCTTGTCGTTTGTTTTAATCAGACTTACTCTGTGAGCTAAGGTGTAACGGTGAGTCAAACAGTCGCTGGAAAGAAAAAAAACAACAACAAAACAAACAAAAAAAAAAGCAAAAATTGTGCAAAATTCCTGCTTTGTAATACACACAACATACACGCAGGGAGTATAAACACATCTCTCATCCTTAATCCAGTGTGTTGGAGGAAAACTCACTGGGATATACACAGTGTAAAAGCACTGAGACGTGCACTCGCTCGCACACGCAGACACACGAGAGCGGATAGAGCTTATAAAAGATTAGTTCTAGAGAAGAGATAAGATGCTGGAATTAATACAGGCTGACTCTCCGGTCACCCCATCACAAAAAGAGGAAAAGAGCAGTCCGAAGGGTGAAGAAGAGGAAGAATGGAAGGAGAAACTGGGTCCAGTCCCACCCTGGCGGAAACTCTGAAGTCTGTAGACGGGTGCAAAGATCTGTGTGGTCGCCAGCATCGTATTAGGATCAGCCTGGAACTCACAAGACTAGGCAGCTTGCAGCTGAGCAGGACAGGAGCAGAAAAGAGTCAGGAAGTATTTTAGTCGGGCACCTGGCTGGGAGTGGCTTATAAATGGATACACGGCATAAAATATCTCCTTGTTTGTGTCGGGGAGCAAGTGAAGGAGAAAGTGGGTCCTCTTTTCACAAGAGGAAGGGGTTGGTGGTTCCGGCAGGTTGTGACCCGGCCTGCGGGGGCATGCTCATCAATGGTTGAGGCATCGACATGGACGGCGGGATCCCTGTGCCCACGCCGCCGCCCGTGCCGGACATCCCGTGGCCCATGGGGGCCATCCCTGCCAGGGGGACCATGGCGACGGGCTGAGGGGGCACGGAGGCCAGCGGCATGGGCTCGGCCATGCTGCCGAAGCCGGAGGGCATCGGGCTGACGCGCATCTGATTGAGAGTGGGGGGAACCGGCTGGGTCATTTGGAACGGGTTGGCGACGGGAGCAGGAGCCGAGCCGCCTGGGTGAAGCAAAGCGTTGGTCAGTTCAGCAGAAATATCAGAACGTTTATAGCTCGTTTATAACCTGCTTTTCGTTTGTAGGTGTGCCATTAAAGTCAAGATAATGGAAGAACAACAGAAAATCTTCCAACTATTCCACTACTTTCATGTGTTTCTATTTCTGATTCAATTGTCACCCACTTTATGTCACTTTTACTTGAAGTTTGTTGGCGTAACAAGACGAAATTAGAAAATATTCGATCGGTATGAATGTTTTAACATGGCGCAGTGTATTTCCAGAAAAAAATAAATGAATCATCTGAACTCCTACCTGAAGCAGCCAAGAACGGGTTAACAACGGGCGCGGGCTGAGCCGGTTTGGTCACCAGAGAGTCCAGATTGACCAGTGCTGCATTGGGTCCCAGGAAGGACTCCGGAGTCTTTCTGGTCGGATTTGTGGAGATCGAAGTGGAAGTGGGCAGCGGGTCGAAGAGGTCCAGGCTGCCGCTGCTGGCCAGACTGACTTGGGAGGGGAGAGAGGACGTTATGCCCACGTCGGCTGAAACGGAGAGAGGAAGGAGGAAGTTCAACTCACTGATGAGAGGGTTTTGTATTGAGCGAGCAAAACACTGGACTTGCATCTCCCTAGTGGAAATGTTCCTTGCACATTAATCTTCTGTCCACTACACGCAAACAAGTGTCTCCATCTGCACTTAAGAACTTCTATTAATGATGGCATATATAAAAGATGATGCCATTATGAGGCATATCAGAGCCAGACAGACTGGCTGTTATTGGTGGCAACAGTCAGATGGCAGTGGAGACTTTTGTTAGTGCATTAATCCAACCTCAACATGCCTGCAAAGACAAAGAAGTATCAGAGACAAAAACCGCCGTCACGCAGCAGGAAGTTCGACAACATCTCCAAAAATTCAAATCAGGAGATCAAACCGATTTGGAGTGTTTGTGTGCGAACTGCTAATGCACTTTGATGTTTAT